GGAAGAAAACCCCAGGGACCACACCAATTGAACCTCTAGGAGGCAATTTTCCACATCATCTCTCTCCATTAGTTCCAGCAAACCTCTGAAGTATCAAGACTGATTCAAAGAGACATTCTGTCTCATCTTCTGCCTAGGTGAAACACTATGCTCATTCTTCAGCCCTTTCATAATAAGCCATTGTATTAGCTGATGGATCTATTTACTTTTGCAAACAAGGATAAGATAATGAAGCTACCTGAGCCAAAGCTTTTGTTACACTCATGAACGACCGAGAGAATTATTGTGCACTTTGTATTTGTTCATTTTATATGTTACAGCATTACACACTTTAGTTTTACAGAATGTTTTTCTTCACTTTTTTTTCCTCTTGCCATACTGACAATGCAAGAATTTATTTTCCATAAAGATGCATTCAATTGCCCTGCTGAAGGTGTCCCTGGCAATGCTGGCAAATTTTTCTGCAGTCAACAACTACTATTTGGAAAAGTGCTCATTTACTGTTTATTTATTAACGAGTAGTGTGTCAGTACAATTGTAGAATTGGAATTAGACACCTTAGGCAGCTTAAGTATTGCTAATAGCAAGTACATATCATGCCCTCATCAATCAGATGCTTTTAGTCTTTCAATTAATTGAATGCAAACATCATTCTAATGTTTAAATATTTTTTCCTTTGATTGGCAATAGGCACATGATTGCCAATAATATACTTGGTCAGTATCAGCAAGACACCAGTGCTCTTTTAATTTTACATTTTTGTAGTCTTTCTTATTCAATCAAAGCAGTCTTAAATTTTGAAGTGACCAAAGTCTTTATTCCTACCCATGGCTGCAATCATCAGAAATACTTCAGGCTGTAAAAACAAGTTTTAGAGAAGAAAAAAATGGTTTGTTGGCCTAGCTGCAGTTTCAGTTTTAGCATTGCTAGAGCTACTTTTGATAGCCCCATCAAACATTCTTCTGAAAGAGCTAAGGAAGTCCTCAGATTAAGACCTCTTTTGAGCCAGTTGCTTTTGTGTGGTGAAATTTGTTGTTGCAGGTGATGCTTGACTAAAGAGCAGAGGGTTGTTTTGTTAGGGCTAACCAAAAATTGATGGTTCCATTTCAGGGCGACTTCCAAGGTTTCAGAATTTGTTTTCATTCTGTGTTGGAATGAAAGCAAATCCTCTTGGAAGTGTTCATCTGTCTCCCTAAAAAACCAGACATCCCACACCCCCGCTCAAAACATTGGTTTTGAAGGAAGTTTTGAGGTTGCTAATGTAGGAAAAGTGAAAAAAAGGTGCACATTTGCATGTGGAAGTTATGAAGGGAGAAAAGAGATGATTCCTGGTATAGGATTCACAACTTTAAATCTGTGTCTGATATTCATCCATCATTGATCAGAAAAGGCAGTCTTAAGTCTGTGTCTGTCTCCTCCTGTTTCCCTCTCAGGTAAAAATCCCTGTTCACCTCACAAAAATCTTGTCTGAAAATTAAATACTCCCAGGTACCATTTTACTTAGTTGAAAGCATGGTGACCAGCTGTTTGCTCATTTCAGTCTATTCATTAGAAATCTAAACACCTTGACAGTTTATGTCGACAACCTTTTGGAATAATTTTGAGTCCATCATTTCTTGTTTATATGTTCAGACCTGTGATTCCTTTTTACATCCATAAGGGAGTTTGAAACACCACCAGACTGATAGCTGCTTTCTCTGTGTTTTTTTTTCTAGAGAAAGGCAAATTTGGATTGACTGTCTTTTCTCATCTTCACCTATTCTCAACATTTTTTATCTCTATTCGATCATTTAAATGTTAAAATTACAAAGGGATAGTTTGCTTTAAATATGCTTGCTTTCCTTTCTTAAATCAAGGTTCGTTCATAGCAACGGTGGTCAGCTCAGGTAATTCCTCAGCTTTGCAAAAGAAACCATTTTTAGGGCCTGGATCTTAAAGCTAAAATGACAGAAAACAGTGGCAGAATTTATACATTTTTCATTTCTTGCACTCTTGTCCTTCTAGTTCTTGATGGCTATAGCAGAGACTGAAACAGGTTAAACAAACATGAAAATGAACAAACCCTGAACCTCCCTCTCAGTTCCAAAAAACAACTCACCTTTGACAAAATAAGCATCAAAATAGTCTCTTCTGATAGTGGACTTTTTTTGATGACCTTACAAAGTTTTATAATATTTCTCTCTTTTTTTGCAATCCACTTCCAGACAGTGCTGTAGTCCATTGCTAAGCTTGGAAAAGCTATAAGAATTTACAATCCTGTAAAATTTCCAGCCTGCTTTTGCAGTTTCAAAGATCTCAAATGATCTGCATACACTGTAGATGAACTTCCATGTTTTTGGATATTTTTCCAAATAAATTCTAAACTCTGAAGTTCTGGAGATTTGCCGCTTGCTTGACACAGGCATTTACTGTGCAATAAGATTATGAGTCTAATAAATAAATGTAAGTTGACAGCTGAGAA